ACCCCCCCCCCTCCCCCCAAGAAAAAAAAACCACTAACAAAAAAACAAAATAACCAAATTTGGTGTCCTAATGCTGTTATTACTTTAATTGTTTTACGGAAATACGCACAGAAGAAAAGGGGAGGGAGGGGGTAGAAGCAATCATAGTTACTTAGTTGCTAACGAAAATGTTGTTTTTACATTGTCTCAAAGCGCTTTCGTCTGCTGCTTTAATGCATTTTTGACATCGTCTAATTTGGTATTAATATAAAATCTATCTGTGGACTTGTCTTAAGTCACAGATAATAAAAGGGGTGAATACTGTACACATAAAAACCCATCCTGGAAGAGAACAATGTCTTTTGGTTTATTTTGCGGGAGTTTCCGACAAGTTCTGGTAATTCTTTTTTATTTCCGTCTGTTTTATCTGTCTGCCTATCATGATATAACCTTTCATTTGTAGTAATGACCGCTATCATATCGATGTGGTGTTTTTTAATTCAAACTATTCAAATTAAATTAAACTTTGATATTTAAAGCTAACAAAGGATATCTGACGTTTGTTTCGATTTGCCAGTTTAGAGCCAAATTGCCTGTGTTGGCTCCCCGTTTCCAGTTACCTTAAACCACAGTTTAATTCATTATGATATGGATTACTTCGAGATCCATGTTTAAATGCCCTATAGGACTTGTCTATCAACTACCAGGAGCTTTCGTCATATCATATTATACAGTATTGCCGAAAGCTGGTGTTCGAACTACATTTTGGCTCCTTCGTAAAAACATAAATACGAAAAAAAAGCATATTATTATTATGAAAGAAATGGTCATTATTAGAAGGGATAAGAAATGCGTTTGTAACATTCGACTTGCTTTCTTACCAATGCCATATCCAACATTGAACATTGTGCTCTTACCAGAAAGATGAAGGTAAAAGAAGCAGAGACAGGCCAAGGATAACGTTCATAGAGAGCTTGAACTGATGGGTGACGGGATTATTACAGGTGTTATTTCAGAACATCCGAGCAGAGACGTGAGCGGATATCCATAATCATCAATGTCCATTTTTAGAACTGTCACTTGAAGAAGAAATTTAATTAAAAGACCTAAATCAAAACAGGCTTAGAATGTAGCGCACACTCGAACTCTAGCCCTTTGTGTTCCAGTCGGAGTTTCTTGTCCCAGCTGTCCTCGGCCTTACACCATCGCGACCTGCTCAAGTCGTGTCTTCCCGCGCTCCTCTACACTGTACAGAACAACCTTCAGTTTGTGGCTGTGACCTACATAGACGCCGCAACATTCCAGGTGATATGCCGCTGGTGACGTGGGTGGTTTCTGTGGTGATGGTGGGCTTGTTGTGGCTGTTATTGTCGTTGTTTATTGTCATTGGTGTTATTATAATTATGTTGAGGATAGTGGTAGTGAAGATGTTGTTACCTTTGCTATTGTTGTTATTGTTCATGTTGTTGTTGTTGCTGTTGTTTTTGATATTGTTGTTATTGTTCTTTTCATTTCTAATGTTGTTGTTCTTATGGGTGCGTTTTTATCTTTGTTACTGTCCTGTCCACCCAATTTTTTTTTCTCCTCTTCTTCTTTTTAATAATGTAATAGATTCCTTCATTATCTTTCAAGTCGAAGTTAACCCCCCCTCCCCCCAAACCACACGCACATACACAGAAGAAAAAAAAATCAAACATGCGTAAGCAAGCATTGCATGCAAATACATACCAACACAAACACACACTTACACACACACACTTACACGCACACAGTTGCACATACTCGCAG